GGTCGCTGGAGACTTCAATGTTCAAGTGGGGTCCCTCGTCGAATCAGAGAGGTTACTTGGAGGTTCACATGCAATCCCAGCCAACAGGACTGACAACGGATAACGCCTATTCCAATTTTGTGCTGACCACGGACTGTTTCTATCAAGCACGAACTTCTCGCACAAAAACGGCACCGTCTTACGTGGAGACCGCCAACCGCTTCACAGCGCTGGACTCAAATCGACGACATTGCCACCAGCCACCGCTGGGAAATCCATTGAAGACTGCCGCTCCTACTGGTCAATACCCGTAGACACGGACCATGCTCTGCTACGAGCGGTATTCTCTCTACGCCTAGTAAACAAACGCATTAAAACCACCGTAAACGGATGCTCAAGGTACAGTGTCAACAATGGTTGCAAATCGGCCTTCGAAGCAGAACTATCAGATTATCTCTCAAAACAACCATCGGCCGGAAGACTCAATGAGCACTGGAAGGCAATCAAGGAAACGATCAAAATGTCAATCGAAACAACAACAAATTCTGACTCACGATAAAATAAAAAACGATGGATCTCCCCGTCTTCAGTTGCCCTGATGGACGCTCGCAAAGCCATTCCTTCGGATTCAAACTACGATAAAGCGAGCAAATCCCTTAAACGCCAGCTCATCAAGAGTTTGAGGAAAGTGTAGAGCGATGGAGAAGGCTGCGGCTATTGGTAATGGTCACAATCTTTTCCGATTAATTAGGTGTACAGGTCCAAGGAAAGCAGGCGCAAGTGAGGTAATTAAGGAGTCCGACGGTACACTAATCCATATTCAGCAATGCCGTCTAGATCGATGGGAAAAACATTTTAAGGCTCAGTTCAGCTGGCCCTCGTCAGCACAAGACCCTACACTCGATTCACCTGTGCAAATCCTGCCCGTTGACATCAGTCCTCCATCTAAAATAGAGGTTACCCGAGAAATAAACTATCTCAAAAGGTATAAGGCTTCCGGCCCCGACGGGCTGTTCAACTGGATGGTGTGAATCGGTGATCATACCGATTTACAAGAAAGGTGAAAGATCCTCCTGTGAAAACCACAGAGGAATTAGTTTACTCAACATTACCTCTAAACTTCTCGCCGCGATCATACTCCGTCGATTGTCTGCCGCACGTGAACGGTGCACGCTTGAGAACCAGGCCGGTTTCAGACCTGGTCGAGGCTGTATTGACCACATCTTTACTTTTCGTCAAATCCTAGAACACACTTTTCGTAGACCCACCATTTTTATTTTCCTCTATCTAAAAGCGGCTTTCGACTCAGTCGATCGCTCTAAACTCTGGCGCTGCCCTGAAGGGAGTGTCCGAGAATTTTATTTCAATATTACAATCCCTCTATAATAATAGCCGAAGCCGAGTTGGGGCTTACGGCACTTTTTCACCCGAGTTCGCTGCAGAAAGTGGTGTTCGACAGGGTTACCCTCTGTCTCCTTTTGTATTTAACTTTGTCATATATTTAATTCTTGAAACAGCCCTACCCTCGTGCAGGGATAACGGTATCGATTTGCTTTCGGGTGGCAGACTGTCTGATCTAGAGTATGCAGACGACATTGTGCTACTAAGTGAAGATCCAGGTAAGTTGCAAGCTTTTCTGGATAGTTTAAGTGCTAGTGTTGCCATGTTTGGTATGCGTTTTGCACCTTCAAAGTGTAAAATGCTACTACAAGGTTAGGTTGATCCAGTACCCAACCTCACCTTGACTGGGTAGGTAGTAGAGGAAGTAGACAAATTTTGCTGTCTGGGCAGCTATACTTCACCTGGCGGACGTATCACAGATGAAGTATCAGAGCGCATACAGAAAGCTCGGTTGGCATTTGCCAACTTGAGGCATCTGTGGTGCCGTGGCGACATCCGGTTGTCTGTGAAGGGTCGAGTATATGCTGCAGCTGTTTGGCCAATTCTACTATACGGCGCAGAAACTTGGCCATTACGGGAACAAGATAAAAATATACTGTCGTTGTTCGAACACCGATATCTACGTAGCATTGCACGAGTTTGGTGGGGAAACCGGACGATCAGTGCTGAGGTTAGGCGTAGAGTTTTAGGTAATCGCGATCGTCCCCTGGAACAGGTAGATTACACTGGTTGGGATATGTGCTACGCATGTCACCAGATAGGTTGCGGGCGATACTTGGCGAGGCAGGCAGAGGTTGGAAAAAAGTGAAGGGTCAAGCTAAGACTTGGCATGAGGGTATGAATACCGTAACCAGAAGTCTGGCTCACATAGGTCCCGTTAGGGTCCCTGGTTGGGGACTCCGAGATCATGGTCACCGGTGGTTAGAGACACTGAGCGATATGGCTGGGTGTCGCAAATAGTGGCGCTTATGCATCTACTCATTATTCTCGTAATTTCAGTCTATGACAATGTGCCGCCTCTCGCTTAAATTTGCTCCCGATATTCTAATCATCATTCTGTTTTTTTATCCAAATGGGCAACCATAAGACAGCAACGAAAACCTGCGCACGAAAGTGCATGGCTAATGTTTGTAAGGACTGAACTGAACTCATCAAATATCCAATGCCTCCGACGGGCATGAGGCTCAGACCCACAAGCAACATTCGCTGCGGAATGCATTGCTCGCCCAATCTGATCCCACTGCTCATCTTCATCATCACGCTGGGGCGCGCTTAGCTTACACACTAGATCTGATTCAAAGCGTGTACGAACTGCTGGAACAGAAAAACAATGATGAGCTCTCCGAGTTTGCTGGTTTTGTCGTCGACCAGTCAGTCGAAGAGTGAATTGCATCAAAACTAATGCGTGGTCAAACTCAACGCAAGTGGTCTAATAGGACATGTAATTTTGCACGGAATCACGCCAACGGTAGCTTACCGCTTTGTGGTCGATTTGAGTTAGCGTACCAGTTGAACAGGGGCTCCACGCTGCCGTCCGTCGAGAGTTGTTGGATGTTGGTGCTTGATAGAAACAGATGATCTGTGCAGAACTGAAGTCGATCACCGTTATATGTTCGTTGGCAGGGCAGAGCACAACTACCGCCTGGGCAAGCTTCCGACGCGCTCAGTTTTCCAACCTGCGCGTTGAAGTCACCTGCAAGTACAACTATGTCGGAGCTTCGACTCATCCGCAAGGGATCGGTGAGTTCATCGTAGACGTCCTTTTGGGTATCAGAACTGCAATTGTTCGATGCATATGCTGATATGACGAACAAGCACCTTTTGGTGTTGCTTCCCTTCCGGACGCTGATTGAACCTTGAAAGCACACTTCACATAAACGACTGCTGACGGGGATCCAATCGATAAGAAAAGACTCAGCCCTGTTACTGAGTACAACACCTACCGCGCGCTGACCTACTGAATGGGCTTCATCGTCGTCTGATGTGCGAAGAACGTACCTCGAGGAAAAATATGGCGCGCTCAAGTGGCTTACAGTAGTAGGATCCTGAATTCCAGTCTCCGACACGCAGCAAATGTCGATCCCTAAGGATTCC